TGTGTGATAAACTCAATGCAACTGAGGAGAGATCAAAAACTACCCCAATATTTCTGTATTCGCCATTGCAGGGAAAAGTTTTGCTGCTCTACTTGGTTGAATTGGTTTCATCTCCTACCTCACAGCTGTAAATTTAATTGGCTAAAATCACATCATTAGCAGTGACACTGTGGTTAAGCCTGGATTCCATGCTGGATAAATTCCATTCTCCTGCATTGTTTTTTACGCTTTTTGGTGAAAAGACCCTCTGTCTAATTATGTTAAGGTAAAGCTCTGAACTTTGTTCCTTGAGACTAATTCAGTATAGGACAAAATTCACTCCACAAAAGGTCTTATTTGCATCCTGAATCCTTCTTAAGTCCTTGATACTGAGTTTAACTGAAATACGGGCTCTTGGCAGGCCATGTGTACTAAGGTCAGTTTTACCTCAGTCTCTTGACACCTAAACCCCTGTTGACTTATTCATATACTGCACAGCTATTTCATACACACTGTGCTGTATATTTACTTCTCATGGAAGGTGTGTTTGGTCTGACCATTTATACTGCCTTCATTATTTCACCTGTAAAAAAAATAAGATATTTTAGAAGTAGGATGGTCCAGTGGTTAGGGCACTAGTTGGGAACTGGGAAGACCTGGGTTGAATTCCCTGCTCTACTACAGGCTTCCTAGGTGACAATGGGAAAGTCACTTAATCTTTCTGTGCCTCGGTTTCCTACTTCATAGGGGCCTTATGAGGATAAAGTCACTAAACATTTCAAAGTGCTCGCATACTATAATACTGAGGGCCATCTATGTACCTTACATAGACAGGTGGTTCTTTAGAGGCATGTTGTGAGATGGAATTAAATAACTAACTAGATATTCCAAAATAGTAGCCTAAAGTCAGGAGTGCTCAATAATTCAGAAAATCGGGAAGTTGCATAAAGAACCTAATTTTAGGCACCCATGTTGAACATTTTGATCTTTGTGGTCTAGGTGGTTTTGAAAATAAAAACTGCTAAGTATGATTGGGCAAGAAGTTCAGAAATGAGTCCCTAAAATTAGTCTCCTACATCCACTGGTAAACACATAAATTTATGGCATGATATCTCTGGGTGCTCATCACCTTTAAAAACCTGGCTACCGATGTTAGTGCCTAATTTTTGGCACTGCATTTTGCCCGTTTGTTTGTAAAAATGGATCTGCAGAATGAGCCTTTGAGCTTTGGCATGCTTTCCTAATCATGCTTATCAACTAAAAATATTTTGTATTAGGCACATGCAGGCAGTAGTAACTCCAAAACAGCAACTCCTGTATGGGCTTAAAGACATTTACATATTAAATGGACATATCAACTGTCTAGCATCATTTTGAGCCACATCTTTGACATTGATAGCTTTAAACAATGAGAGAGATTCCAGTCTGAGTCTGGAAAACTGCACATCTCCAGAAATCTGCAAATGCCCTCCCTGGTTTGCTCATAAAAATACCAGGTTTCATCTTAAAGCCATCTCCAAAAATCAAGTAATATTTCATTGCATGTGTAGTAGCCAAGCAGAATTGTTGCCGCTACTCTTTATGTTGTTGATAAATTTTAATATTGATAAATGCAAAGTAATGCATATTGGAAAACATAATCCCAATTATATGTTTAAAATTAGCTATTTACCACTCAAGAGAGAGATCATGGAGTCATTGTGGAGAATTCTCTGAAAACACCCACTTAATGTACTGCAGTAGTGAAAACAGCAAACAGAATGTAAGGAATCATTAAAAAGGATAGAAAATAAGATATTCTCTATCTTATTGCTTCTATATAAATCCATAGTATGGCCACATCTTGAATACTGCATGAAGATGAGGTTGCTTGATCTCAAAAAAGATATCTTGGCATTGGAAAAATATTCAGAAAAGGGCAACAAAAATTATTAGGAGTTTGGAACGGCTGCTATATGAAGAGAGATGAAAAAGACTGGGATTTTTCAGCTTAGAAAAGAGGAGACTAAGGAAGAATATGATAGAGGTCTATAAAATCATGACTGGTATGAAGAAAGTAAATAAGGAAAAGTTATTTACTTGTTCCCATAACATAAGAACTAAAGCTCGCCAAATAAAATTAGTAGGTAGCAGATTTAAAACAAATAAAAGGAAGTATTTCTTCTCATAACACAGTCAACCTGTGGAACTCCTTGCCAGAAGATGTTGTGAAGACCAGGATTTTAACAGGGTTTTAAAAAGAAATAGATAAATTCATGGTGGTTAGGTCCATCAATGACTATTAGGCAAGATTGGTAGGAATGGTGCTCCTAGCCACTGTTTGTCAGAAATTAGGAATGGATGACAGAGGTGGGATCACTTTATAAATACCTGTTCTGTACATTTCATCTAGGGCACCTGGCACTGGCCTGTCAGAAGACATGATACTGGCCTAGATGGACCTGTGGGTTGACCCAGTAAGGTCGTTCTTATGTTTTTATAATGCATGGGGAGGGGCAATAGCAAGGCAAGCCCCAACCCCAAGTTTGACACCACACTTTTTCTGGCTGAAAAAAAAAAAAAAAAAACCCCAAAACGAAACAACCAAAAACCCAAGACAAAATATCTACACTGCTCCTAAGCCAGCCTGAGGAGATTCCTAATCACAACAAAAGATGCTTCCTCATTCCAGATGCTTCAGAATCAGCTGCTGTTATTTAAAGGACACCATTGCAGGCATGGCTTTTATTTTCTTTCAGTTTTATGCATGAAATTTATGAAGGGCACTACTTGCAATATTTGCTGAAAACTGCCATTTTAGTGAAGCTAAAATTCTTGTTAGTAAGCACATTTGCTAGAATATTCACAGGTGTCAATGACTGAAGTCATTTAATTAATGTGATTGAGCATGTGGGCAATATTTTCTAGTATTTGGCCTGCTTTATTCATGAATATGCAAAAAACAAAAACAAAATAAAACCCAGGGAGGATTTAACTGAAATTGTTTTGTAACCTTAACTAACCTGGATGCACATACTATTGTTTAATAAACCAGTGTAGCATTTCAAGCATAACAAATCAGCATTAGGTATCAGCAATATAAAAGTTCTTCCATCCCAACTTGCTCTAGTCTAAAAGTGTGTCCATAGTTTGAGAAATCACCACAGAAAGAAAATGGCAGATTTTTTGGGGAAGACTGATTTCATTGATCCCAGTCTCTGAGAACAGTCATTCAATGTAAAGATATTCTGTAGAAAGACTGAGACCATCCACCACATATGTAAGACATTTAGTTCCAAAGAGCTCACAAGGGAATTTAGATGTGTAGCCAATAAGCTGTGGGAGGTCCTCTGAATAATAAGAACATATGTTAAAACAGCACATGTCTGAAAAACATTTCTATGAGGGCTAATAGATGCACTTAAACAAATATGACAGATTTAGTATATGCATGCAGTATTCATATCTATGCATATGGGAAGATGCAGCATATTGTCACAACAAACTTTTCCTTCAACCCAAACAGCTCAGGCACAGAAATCTCTACTAAGTCTGCATGTTTGTTAAACGAAAATAGGAAAGGAAATATTAAACATGTTAACCAAGCTTCATAGTTGCCCTGCCAGTTCTTACATTCATTAAGCTTTTTAATATAAAATGTTCTTTAGTGTTTATATATAAAGTGATCAAAGAAAATGGACACAATCATGAAAAGTCACAAAATAGAAGATGACACAATTACATTATAAAATATACTCATTTCCTTTGTAAGTTTAATTGTATTTGTAACATATTTGAAGAAAACCTAGGGTAAGAAGTTAAAATTCAATTAAAATATAAAATGATGGCAGTTCAGTACTTGGCTAGATTTCTGGAAACTACAAGAAGAATCTGAAGTCACAACTGAAAAATAATTCTGAAGATTCTTCCATGCACGTGAGTTAAAGGTTCAGACAAAAGTTATTGGGCCATCTCTGTTTTTAATTGTCACAACAGATGCACTTTACAATTGCTGTCATAAAATCAATTATTTTGACCTTTCAGAGTGAAGTCTAAGCAAGCAAACCAGTGACAGCGCATCTAAATAATGCCTTTTATTTTTAAAGATCTGAACTCAGCTGATTTATGCAGATGGCACCCAACAAATACATCACAAAGTAATATTTCCAGTCATTAATAGTTTCTATTTGTACTCGGAATGCTGCCACAATGATATTTTCACTGCAAAATCCACCTTAAATTATTACCAACAACTTCCAGGATTCAACAAAACCTGATGCAATTGTGCTAGTGCTGATCACAGATTCCAAAATACATACAACTAGCATAGTCTGGACCACTTGACAAGCCACTTTTAATAGTGGCCAAAAATACCCAAAACAAAGCAAACAAACAAACAGGGCCTGCATTTGTCTAATGTTCTAATATGTAGCTCAGCCACCCAATACAAAATAAACATGTGATCAGGTAACATAAGACCAAGGAGAAATCTGCTGTTCAAAAGACTTCACAGTAAACAATACCCATGTGATGTGAAAGCAAGAAGTTTTAGTAATGCAATTTTTTTTTAGCTTTTCAGTGGAATTCCAGCAAGGTTGAAAAAGCACCAGTAGATAACTTCAAAACAGTAAAGCTATGTTCTCAGTGCTAACAAATGTCTGAGGTAAAGAGTCCGTGCTAATTAACAATCTCAGTCATTTTTATGAAGTCCCGCTGGCATTTAATTTGTGTGTCTGTACCATAAAGTTCCTGACTATGTCTAAAGACTAAACAAAATAAGTGCTGCATAGCACGTAGAAAGGGACTTTCATTTCCATGGAGTCAAAAAATAATGCAATGCTTTAATCAAAGCATTAGGGATTTATCTGGCAATAAAAGCGTGATGAGGAACTAGTTAACGGGATGTGTTTACAAGTATTTCATTGTCACTAGGTCACTCACATGCTTATTTGTACACACTCCAAACACAATGTTAATTTTAGCTGAACATAAAACGGGTCTTGCTGGACTCATCCCAAGCCCATTACTGCAGCACATCTTACCTTTTTCACGGTTTGTGAATTACTGGAGAGAAGGAAGCAGCGAGTGTTCCTTGAAGAGACCTCCTTATATCTCCCTGGTTGCGGCTCTGCTAGTTTGTTTGGGGAAATCCCATTAACAACTGCCAAAAAGAATCTTTTGGTCCCAATAGGTGTCAGTGTCTGGTAGAAAAGGTAGTAATAGACAGCCACCACCAGCACCACAAGGAAGGGCCGAGGGCGACAGAGCCTATGGCAAGAGGGAACCTGCCTACACACCATGACCGCTTCACCCCTCTCACTTTGCCCTTTTCCACATCACAGGAACATTCGCAGCAGCCACTTTCCATCAGCATAAAAAGGACACGGGAGTGTTTTGTCACAACCGATTTAAGTTCTTCCCATTTCTGCTGCTGAACTCCCCCGTGATGCCCAGCAAGAAGTCATGGGTCTGAAAGGCAGAGTGTGCTGCGAAGAGCTCTTCATAAAGGAATGGAGTCCAACCTCTGCAAAACAAACACACAGCAATAATCGGCACACGAATGAGCCAGACTTAACCTTTCCCCAATGCCTAGCTAGCAGAACAGACCTGCATGCAAACAGCTGAGGAGTAGAAATCTTTATGCCAGCTCTGCCGAAAAAACTGCAGGCAGACAATAGCATCCAAGGAAGCAATAAGTAAAACATAACATGTGCCTTGCATGGCAGAAGAGACTGTCCAGGCTTTGCTAGCAGTCATTTGATTTTTGTTTCTATCACATTTTCAACCCCCACTTTGTTTTTACTGTTTCCTTCATTCCAGTCCTTTTAAAATTGCCTTTTTCCTGTCAGCATGCACAGCTCTCAGGGTGCATTTATCTGGAATCTGACAGACTCTGAAGACTTTCCTTTAGGTTTTGTTCCGACTTGAGTTCAAAGTTATGTTTACTTACTCAGTTCTTATCCTGCCAGAAGTTTTCCATTCTCCCTGATTAAAGCCACTTGGAACCACCCAGCCTCATGGCTCCAGCTCATCTCATAGAGACAGACAGACATCCACGCAGTCTTGCAGACAAACCATCTGAACTCAGTTGGGCCACAGACATATAAAGAAAGGCTGGACTGCACAGGGGGTGGGGTTAACGTCACTCGGCTCTGAAGAGGCACAGATTGGGAACTGGAGAAGCAATACTAGATCTGGATCAGAAACAAGAAGTGTCCTTGCTCATATAAAAAGTGAATTTGCAAACTATAGTCAAAGCAGTTACTAAAATTCTTCTGTTACAGTAATATCTCAGATGGAAAAAATAAATCTTGCAGGTAGTGGGGAATCTGACCACCACGTGCAGCATTTAAATCCAAATTTATAAAAAATATTGTTTAACATTTCCATGAACCAGACTTACTTGTGCACTGCCATGGCAATACATGGTAAACCTCAGTGGTTTAATATCACTGCATGAAAAAGTCTCCTATTTAATAGTGAAGAAGGAAAAAAAGCAAGACTGTCAGAAAGAATCCAACTAAAACATTCAGTATCTCAACTACAAAAGTGCCAAGTTAGTACTTTCCCCTGCTGACAAGAAAAGTGCTGGACAGACCCAGTTTAGGGGCTCAGCATTAACATAACAAACCAACATTGCTTATATGATAACGTCCAAATTGCTAAAGTAAGAGTGAGTGTGAGTGCGTGTATACACGTACACATACACATATCCTATGCACTTTGTTCTGTATTCCTAACTATGGAGGGGGGGGGGCATTCCCAAGGCCCAAACTCTCTCATATAGATGAAAAATGAAAGTCAATCTATTATACAGTATCAGAGGGGTAGCCATGTTAGTCTGAATCTGCAAAAGCAACGAGGAGTCCTGTGACACCTTATAAACTAACGGATTTATTGGAGTATTTGCTTTCGTAGGCAAAGACCCACTTTGTCAAATGCATCTGATGAAGTGGGTCTTTGCCTACGAAAGCAAATACTCCAATAAATCCGTTAGTTTATAAGGTGTCACAGGACTCCTCGTCTATTACACAGAACTCCAATCCCACCACTCTAATACCTCACCAAGATGAGCACTGCGCGCAGCTGTGGAAACTCATGTTTATAGGTGGGTCTGAAGGAGTTGTGTTTATTTCCAATATCTGAGTTAAAGCAATCACCCATGACCACTTTTGGGCCCCCCCCCCCCACGTGACTCCTCTTCATGCCACCCTGAGCCTGGGGGAAGGACCCACCTCTTCCCACATCCACCCTGCCCCCAATTCCACCCCTTCTTCCAAGCCTCCACCACTGCCCTTATCCCTGTACCGACCCCTCCCCGACCCTGGCCCTGCTTCACTCCCATCCCACATCTTCCCCTGAGCCCACTCTCCTGAGTGACAAAGCCCAGAGGACTAGCGAGGTGCCTGGTGCTGGCAGCAGGGGTCTGGCCTCCCCACACTCACCAGTGGCAGTGGAAGGAATTGAAGCAATTCGGCCTCAGACAGCTTTGCTCCCCTGGTTCCCAGCTGTGTTGCTCCATTTCCCTCCACTTCTGAATGTGTGGAGCAGTTCCACCTATTCCCGAAGCTCCCTCCCATGAGCATCACGGCTGGGAGCCAGGGAAGCAAAGTG